AGGCATGAACTTAAAGCTGCGATGTGTCGGGGAGGTGCGGGGGGGGGTGAGAAGGGCGATGACTGCGTTTGGCGCACTGCCGGCCCTTTTCCCATCATGTGGCTTGCTCGCATCTGCTCTTCTCTTCTACTCTTCATGTCTCTTCGATCGATGCTCATATACGCTAAGCAATAGGGGTCTTATCAAGCATATTTTCAACGTGTAGGGATCGTAGACGGGGTTCAATGCAGACTTCGACCCTTCGCGTATGGGTACACCCGCAATTCCTGAGATGTGGTAGGCGTGGCTGCGTACTTCAACTAAACGTGGCGGTGGCTGTGCTTTTGGTGAGACATTTTCATTTTGAGACAAATGTGGTCATGCCTTTGTCCAGCACAGAACATGACATCCGTCTCAACTGAAGTTTCCCACGAGGGGCCCATCCTAAGCCATGTTCAAATGCCACGCCTATCCTTTTCTGGGATAAGGAGCGTATGTGCGTATTGGAGCGAATTTCCACTGCCTATCATGACTGAAATCAAACCAGATCATCACATAGAATGGGAAGAGGTAGAGCATAGAGGCGACTGAATGTAATAATTCAGAAAAACATTGGAGTATATGGGATCTGAGCGTTCTTACCGTAACGAGACGACTTCGAACGAATTGAGGTGGTGTCGGGCATAAGTGCGAGTACAAATGGTTCGCACTTACCACGAATTCTGGAGAACTCCCACCTCCTTTATCAACGTTTTCATTTTACGTAATTGCCTTGAAGAAATCGGTCATAGTTGAAAGCTTAGATTGAGCATGTCTCATCTTGTCTATTTGCTTGCAGCGTTGTGTGAGGCAAGTCAAGGATTCTACCCTCTTATCAATTCCTTTTACTATTTACCAGCGAGCTTTTGCGTGGTGTTTGCCTTGGTTCGAAAATATACTCGAATTGCGTGCTGGCCGCATGTTTCAACTTAACCTGAAGGTGTCTATGCTTCTGGTGAGATATTTCCACCTTGGCACAATTGTTGTCGTGTCTCTGTCCAACATAGAACAAGATGACGGTTTGCCCCAGATTGGAGTATTCCACGGGTAACCAATTCCGTGCCAAGTTATTGTGGAATGCCACGCCTACTCTGGCTCAGGGATAAGTGTAAACAGGACCAGTGCAATCATACATACTTTTAACGTCTACAACTGCAATGAACGGGAGTTGGGATGTAGTAAGGAATCCCGCCAGTTTCTAAGGGACAGAAATGACCCTACCCCGTACAAATAGTCGCTCCATTACTGCATACGTTTCGCATGCTTGACAGATTTCTGCTGCCGTGGTCACAGACACAGAGGTTTCAGGGTTGACCCACCCACTGGTAACGGGCTATTTAATGTCCCAGAGCGCAGGGAATTAGAAGGAAGGGACTACTGCGCCCAGCGCTAGCCGAACTGGGGACCGACGATTGACTATGACAGTGGAAATCAGTTTCTTGTTCGCAACTGGGCAACCCACTTCAAAAAAACTGGCGGAGAAACGCCATGTTGGCGCCGTGGCAGCATACATTGCCCTTCTACCGCAGGCACGACTAGAGTGTAAATCCTTCTATCAAGTACAAGAAAGAAGGATTTGAACGGGTTCTTTATTGTTTTTTTTGTTTTTTTTCTACTCCTGGGGCACATGCTGGAGTAGGACGATGGGAGGCAGATGGTACGTTAAACAGTGGAAAACTGCAGCGGGTGGATGCACGTAACAGTATTCGATTTGACAGCATGTCTAACTTTCCGTGTAACTTATGATGATTTTTTTCCAGAGTCAATCCGGAGAAAAGAAAGGAATAAATCATTTTTGGCTCCGTCCCGTATAACCTACTACCAATTAGCCTACTTCCATTCTTGGAGGGCTGTTGAGAGGCGCCTCCGAGAGCGTGGTTTAGCCAAACTGGTTACAAAAAGGTATTTTACTTCATATTTCCAGGCTCCTAACTGATTAAGCCATTACCGAATAGAAGCCAAGATACGTTCCAGTTACGATTACAATCAGCTTACATTGAGGAGAATCATGTAATACAGACTTTTTGAAGGGTTCAGAATATTTATTTGCAGATGTTGACGACACCATTCTTGTCAATCCAGGCCTGACCAACGTACACTCCTTTTCCATTCACGTAGCATCTATAGACGTGAATGCCTTCATCGCCACATCTCATATCGTAGTCTCCTGAAAGTGGATGTTTTCATGAAACCGTATGATACTGGCTACTCAAGAGTTAGAGGTTAATAAGGAGATAATTTATTGCGACCAGAATGAGTTACCGGTAGTGTACTCCGAGTATCTGTCGATATCGCGTAGCAAATGCATCTTCCTAGATTCCTCATACTAGATTTTGCTAGAATGTTGCTTCCAGAGAACCCTCCATACGCGCAAAGATTCTCGCGACCTAGAGGTGCGGAGCAAGTTCGCCAAAGTACCTTTCTCTAAAATGAGTTGCTCTTGCCACTTCCACAGATCGAACGTATGTCGTGATACCCAGAAGGTATGAGCCCTATGTACTTTCGACATTATCGGTAGTGACACCTGTCGCCCTAATCCACCTGTGCTATCAACTACATCGACCCAGCGAACGCGTAGTCAGAGGTGGAGAAAGCCTGTAGTGAAAAGGGGCAGACAAGTAGCGCGCTCGGTTGTGGTCAAGCGAGTCTGCGTACTGCGCGGGCGAAATCGAGAGACGGACCCGATGACACTACAATCCAGCCCGTTCCAGTGCACTTTTCTGTGGAGAAAGTGGCCCGCTACTGCAGTTGCGGACCATTACCAATTTACATGGCCCACGGGAAGGGCTAGGATCCACGGAGGTGACAATTTGTCTTGAGTAGTGGAAAACAAATGCAAATTTCAAGTTCGTCGTATGGGTGGGCTAATGCCGTTTGGACTCCATCGGTCTTCGAGCTCATTTTAAAAGTGGCAAGATCACCAAATCCGCTAAAACTTGTATATAGGGGTAATTCAACATCCTGATCACGAATATGACATTCATTTTTGGCGCTGGCGCTAATGGATGACACTACGATTGCCTGCGTCTTCTGCTAAGGCTGAGCCCTGGAGGTAATCGTAGTGTCCTATCTTGGCGCCACTGCCGCGAATGAAGGTCGTACTCATAATCAGGATGTTGAATTACCCCGACTACATTTTAAGCGATTTGTGCATCTTGCCAGTTTGAAATGAAGCTCGAAGACAAAATTTCTGGAGTCGCAAAACCCATTAGGCGTATGGTTGAAGGCCGTGTGTTACAGTATGCCCTCGTCATTGGCGAACCGCATCCGGCCCTCACAGCAGTCCAAGCAATGAGAAAGGGTCAGGCCGGGAGGCTCACCTAACGAGTGTGAAATCTACCCTTAGCCGACACGAGTATGGTTCTTGCAACCTTATCGCAGATGTACAGCCTAAATCGGAGCTGTGAGAAAAGCGGTCAAGTAAGTTAGTGAAAGTGAAATCAGTAACCTATGAACTCTCAGTCTGACGGGACAGCAAGCGAAGAGCACAAGAGTGCTTTTGGGGCGATGTTTTGAGCTACCATGTTTCAGAGTATATTCGAGTAGGGCAGTATCACAAAAACAGTGTAGATCTCTTACCCTGCCGCCATATCGCGTACTTCTTCACATGGAAGGTAACATCTTCGACATCGTCGCTTCTCGACCCATTGAAACAGCCTGTAGATAGGAATATTAGTTGAAGACTTCTGAGTTTTTTTTCAGAAAAAACGTTCATACTAGGAATGATGAGGACAAGTAACACATAACACCCCGAGAATGAAGAAGACATACATTTTAGTCTGTTTCGGTTAATGCCAAAGAAGAATGATAAGAAGGAAGTGTGGGAACATCACATGCGCAAATGAGAAGTGCGCAGTCTTCTGGCAGCAAGCAATTGAAGAAGGACGGCATAACCTTTAGGTTCGATTCGGGCACGCAGCCCATTTCTTTGGATATTGCAGTACTTTAGCAATCCTTTTCCCAGCACGAAATGTCCACTTTTTATTGAATCACCATACTCATCCACACATCCTGGAACTTTCGTTGTTCGCTAAGGTTTCTTACTTGAGCAGCGGCTTACCTTTACGAAGCAACTTTAGCATGCCAAACTTCTGAAGTAGATTTATTAGAAAGTATACCTTTGAATCGTTTTGAAATGCAGCAGATGAGAAAGTTTCCCACAGTGATGTCATCGGAACTTTCAGCATTCTCTGGACACGAATTAACCGAAACCTCCTCACCAGAGCCTTAAATATCAAAATATCCGCAATATCCGTTTTTCAGACGAGATCAGTGACAGGAAATTGAAATAACATTTGAATGGACCTCTGGTTACTGGGGAAAGAAAAAATACTGTCCTGTTTGCTGCGGGTCAAAGTAGCTTAGTTTGGCGCGGCGTCGACCCGTTCTCTTCCAATTACTGGAGGTGGAAAAGCGACACCAATTGCAGGAAAACTTGCTAACGCCTCGCCGAACTAAGCCCCTTGACACTTACCCAGCATCTACAGGGATCAAGGACTGTACAGGGGGGCAAAAAGTCACTTTTCTTCATTGACTTTCGAGGCGCTATAAGTTACACTTTATTGAATTCTGATCGGACATTTCTACCACCATATTAAAGAGCATATTAAATACTATCACGATACTCCGCCACAGCCTTCTGGAGGAGATTCTGCCACGCGACCGTGAGTGGGTGCCTGAGTTCAGCGAGATCGTTGATTTCTCCGCCACTGTAGACCACCCTATTGAACTCCGCCCGAACCAGGTAATTGAGGGGGTCAGGTCAGGTGACCTGCTTAGATATTCCATCTTCTTCAGGTACTCAACGCCCTTCCATTCCAAGTAGGCGAGAGTTTTTCCAACGCCCTTCGATTCCATGTGGTACTTCATACACCCTTCCATTCCAAGTAGGCGAGAGTTTTTCCAACGCCCTTCGATTTCCATGTGGTGTCACCCAATCCTGTAGCAGTACAAAGTTTCCAAGAAGGTACGGGCGACGACATGTGGGAGGATATTCTTCTCGAGTTGCTCGATGTAACCGCCAGCGCTCACCTTCAGTCCGGGGTCCACGAAGAAAATATCGGTCTTTCCATTCCAGGTACGTCCGGTCCATACCATCAACCCGCGCCTTGGCGACTGTGGTGGAAATGTCCTAGACCGTAGCGACGTTGCGGGAGCTGTTTGCCGTTGGGGGCATCCTCAGCATCGAGAGCACGCTTACCAGTTAGCTATCATGGGGTTGGCTCCACACCGAAGCTTACGCAGCTGTGTGGAAGGTACGAATGAAGCTCCTAAAGGTCATTCTCCAGGTCAGCGTTGCGACTGAGATGACTTCATATTTGGTGTACTTGAAGGTGATGGGCGAGAGCCAGCTCCTGCTTATAGAGGAACATCTTGGGTATCTTCCGCCCTGGTACTCGTATCCACGTCCTCTGTCTGGGCTGCGAAAACTTTGCTGATATGTGACTCGGTCGAAGTGTCTTTTTTTGCCCCCCCCCCTGTATGTACACCTTGAAGTTAGAGTGCAGAGCTGAGGTTTCCTGTAGAAGAGCGCCTGGAGCAGTTCTAAATTTCCTTAATTGTAGTATGAACAAGCGAAGTGAGGGCATATCCATGACAGAGGATTTCTGCCATTTCACGCCTATTGCGATGCGACTAGTGTAAATGGTTCGTGGAAGTTCTGGATGTACTATATTAGAGAGAGCGCACAGTAGCGCCACATCTATATCTTACAGGACATTTTCTGTCACTTCTCGGAGGTACGTCAGGAGACTCTGGAGGAAGAACACACTTCCTGATCAGCTGTTAGTGGCTATTCTAAGAGGACACGCTGTTCGGCTTGAAGTGGGGGGAGGCGTTTTGTTAGTTTGCTAGCTCCTCTAGGATTGTACGTTTTACCCTGATGAGACCTGAAGACTCTTATAAAGTTAAATGAAGCTCATGCTGTTGCATAGCTTTGCAGGAATTTACAAGTCATCACAGGAGGCTGATGGGCGCCGGCAATGATTCTCCACCGAGCCGAACTGTGCGCTAAAATAAGACACCAGTTCAGATACGAACGAGTACCAGTCAGCTCAACCAGCTCTTCAATAAGAATATCTTACATCACGCCTCTAATTTTTGATGCAGCGAATTTTCGCTATTTACCTTCCATCACTGGTTCGTCGTCCATGCAGGAATATTCAACGCCATTTTCCATATGCGACGAAGTACCCAATTCGAGCACCGTGCCAGCGTCGGTGAGGCAGTTCAACACCTGAATAGTACGATAAAACTGCAATGCCATGAAGGAAACAGATAAAAAATAATTAAAGTCAATTTCATTGTATTCTTCTTAACAAGGAAACATCAACTAAAAACAAGTTCTGTCACCGTGGAGGGCAATCAGGAATCGTTTCCCTTTGCCATTTGATTTTTTGGAACACAGTTAGCTCATGCTAGTTATTAGGTCATCCCATTCAAAAGTGCCGTCGGTTTTATTCGAATAAAACAAAGAGGAGAATAGATAAAAAAGTAATATTTTAGCTTCAAGTTGAGTAAATCCCTCCTTCACCAATGACCCGCTCCCAGTGCCCCGAAAGCCTTTGGACCTCTGGTACCTTCGATTTTTCAACAAGTGCGAGTAAATTGCTGTTGATGCCAATTTCGGCGAATGACAAAACA